TTAACAGTATTAGCTAAATTGAGTCCTAAAAGCTGTAATTTTTAAAAAAACCCATGATTTCCTAGTAGTAAATGGAATGAGTTCCAAATATTAAACAGAAATGCAGAATGCTAAGGAAAGAAGTAATAAACCAGGATGAAATTCATACTTCTTCCATCACTACACATTTTTTTTCAGACACAGAAGAGACCTTCCATTTAAGATACTAAAGATTATATTCTTTTAGCTAAGGTTAGAGCTAAAACCAGAGCCAGATTTTGCATCCCATGCTCTGGTTAGGTCACTTAAACAAAGAATAATCAACATGCTAATTACTTTAAATCAATTAGGATTTGAACTGAGAAATTACATTGGAAAGTTATACAGTTTAAGACTTTAAAAAAGGACAGAGAAATGCATTAGGAAGATTACTGGTTTCTAATCCTAGCTCTCCCAATTATTAATTGACTTTGATAAACTTACTTAATTTCTTTGAATCTCTTTATTTGTAAGTTTTGCTATAACTGGTTGGGATCCTGATAAGCTCCCAATACATTGCTAGACATCATCTTCCATTAAAATATTATAATTGCTGTCCAAGATCAAGTAAATGAATCAGGTAATCTTCTGAAAATGTGAGAACTTTAATAAAAGATATTCAATAAACTTATTATATAACTTTTTTTTCCATTTATTTTTATTAGTTGGAGGCTAATTACTTTACAATATTGTAGTGGTTTTTGCCATACATTGACATGAATCAGCCATGGATTTGACATTTTTGACTTTTTGTTTTGAATGAAACATTTACAGATTTGATATGGAATCATAAAAATTTTGCAGGTTAGGACTTCTCTGATGGTACAGTGGATAGGAGTCCTCCTGACAATGCAGGGGATGCAGGTTTGATCCCTGGTTTGGGAAGATTCCCCACGTCACAAGTAGCTAAAGCCCATGTGCCACAACTACTGAGTCCACACTCTAGTGCCCGTGAGCCACATCTAACGAGCCCGTGTGGTGTAACTACTAAAAATGATGTGCCTAGAGCCTGTGCTCAGCAACGAGAAGTCAGCACAATGGGAAGTCTCTGTACCACGACCAAGAGTAGCCCCTGATCACTGCAACTAGAGAAAGCCTGTGCTCAGCAACAAAGACCCAGTGCAACCAAAAATAAATTATTTTAAAAATATTTTGTAGGTTAATAAACATTTTGTAGATAATTTCACAAAATTTTCAACTGCTAAGAGATTTTTTCCAACTTACTCTATGATTATTATGATAATCTCTATAATTATTATTACTGTATTATGCACATACATAACATATACAAGTACATAATGTAATAATATATGACAATATATTTCACATGACATCATATGCATAACAGATGTTGCTATAAATAGTTGTCATTAACTTAATCCTCAGAAACAGTTCTACAAGGTAGGTACTGCCATTCCCATTTTATAGTTGAGAAAATGGAAGTTTAGTAATATTAAAGAACTTATTCAGAAGGACATGCTTTCTTGGGCAATCCCACTCACTTTCTTGTATTTATTTTAGCATAACCTCAATATAAGATGGTCCTCAAAATTCATGCATAAACTGAGATATTAATGAAAAATAGATTTCATTTAACCGGTATGTGTCTCTCTCTCGTACACACACACACACTCAAATCACATAAACAAAGATAATAACACACTGTACAAACCTACATGCACATCAAACTGACAATGAAACATTTTATAACCAAACCAAGTCTCCTGCTGAGGACACCCATTTAGCTCCCTATTTAAGAACAAAGGGTCAAAGGCAGATAGAAGCCAACTGCCAGTCACATGGCATCCTAATTCCTATTACTGTGGGATATATTGTCATAGGCTTTTACTATAATTCTCCTAAGCTGATGACTCACAAGTCTCTTTGTGAATCCTGACTCTCAAATTTCCAGCTTTGATTCTACCTGAATTTCAGATTCAAATATCTCATTGATCACTTTCTTGGTGTATTCCTCATCTCAATTAATTTGCCAATATCTGCCCAGAAAACTGGCATCATAATTGACCCACTTTTCTTCATACCAATTCACTGACAAGATCTGCCCATTTGCTGTTCTGTTTTTCTTTGAATCCAACCCTTGCTCTACATTCTAGCACAGGCTTTCAGAATCTTTGAAAGGACAACTGAAATAGAATCTTTATTTGCCTGACTTGGCACCTCAAATCCACACTGTCATCAGTTACCTAAAATTGACACGTGACTGTAACAGTTCTTTTCTTAAAATCCTCAGAAGGGTCTCCAATGGGGAAAAGTCTAATCTCTTTAGCAAATCCTTATGAGCTATCTATTTATCCTACTTGTAGTATAGACTCAAACAATAAATACCAATTACTAGTAATACCTTTTTTTTTCTTTTTTAAATTAATTTCCTCTGCCTGGGTATAGCCTTCATTCATCTTTTAACTGGACAGCTAATACTTAATATTCCCCAACCTGGCCACTCCAGAAACCTTTCCCACAATTTCCTTTCTCTATGCCCTCACAGGATCACCCTGTGTGTATTTTTTATTAACAAGTGTATTATATTTCCCCCATATGTTAATATTTTTCATGGGCATGGTCCATGGTCTATTCTTTAACCAGTCTCTCCATTTAGTACAGTCTGTCACACAGTAAGCACACAGTAAACAGCTTTTAACCAAATGTTTTAATTATACTAAGTGATGAACTAGAATATGAACCTAGGTCTCTGTTAACTATCTTCTTCTTTCTCTAACTCTACCGAGGTCTTTGTACCTCAACTGTACCATTCTGACTCTTGCTTTGCTCTTTATATATAAAGTCCAAATCTAAATAAACTTAATGCCTACTATCACAGATATCTTCCAGATTTCTCCTTGGTACTATAAGATTAAATTTTGGTTTTACATCTTATACCCTGATGAATTTAAGAGACACTTTTAAAGCAATCAACATTCTGTATTACATTACTGAAAGCTTTTACAGCAGGAAAAAGGTAACTCAAGAAAAATCCAAGTATTCATAGAAAATAAGAAAATCATATAATAATTTTAAGCTTATAAAAAATGATTTTGTACAATAAAAATATTATCTGATATGTAAGACCATGAAGCTTCCAAAAAACTAAAGAGCTGACATTAATCCTCCTATTTACAAAAGTATCTTTGGATGTCCTGCAGATTGTTAATTATAAAACAACAGAATCAAATATGCAATCAGTAACCAAAATAAATGTCAAAGAGTTTCAGAAAGGCATCTGGCAAATGTCCCGAATATGTGACTTAAAATCTCAAGGACTTGAAGAAAAATGCATTCAAAGATGATAAAAAATTATGCATAAACCAATGAGTTAGCAAACTCCAAATAATTGATAAATGTAGAAAACATAATTCAATTTGCAATGTTTTTAAATATAGACAAAAGTAGAAACAGGATAATAAAGTACACAATAAATAAAAAGTAAGGTTCTTACTCTAATTTCTGATATTTAAAAAGAATAAAACCCTGAAACAAATTGTATTAAGCTAGGGTAAATCAAACGTTATCAAATATGCAGGTATTAAAACAAGATAAAAGAAATCAGCAACCATTAAAGATTAGTTCCATTTTTGCATATCCATACAAGGCACTATCTCTGCCTTTCCCCTTAACTTCCACCAAAAATAAGCCGACAAAAAAACAAACATGCACAAAAGCTGGCTCTCGTTATGATCTGAAATACAATGGTTCTTTCTTGGCAGTTTTCAATGCAGTTTTAGCTAACCACTTTTGATGATCATTTTGTTTTAGATTATTATGCATGCTTTTTTAAAGTGTTTATCACAATTAGGTTTCATATCTACTCATAACTACGTACTTCCTGGGCTAAAATTTTTACAGAAGTAAAATTGTATCCTTAAGATTATAATAATAGCTAACATTTAAACAATGCTTTTCTATGTTTACTGCACTAAGTATTTTAGTATATTCATTCTTTTAATCCTTAAAATACCTCTGGGTGTTCTTACAGACTAGAAACCAAGTCCCTTGGCCTCACAAATAGTAACTGGCAAAGCAAGGATTAAACCTAGTGATACTGGTTTTCTTCAAACATAAATGCTCTTCCATGATTTTTACATCTCCATTTCTATGGTTTCTTCTTCTCATTTTCTTCTACATTTTTTTCTCACCACTTATATACTCACAAACCACGAATAGTTTAACTTAAAATATTCTACGTTAGCTTACAATTTGTTCGTTTTGCTTCATCTTGAATGTTTTTTAAAAAATGAGTTAGTGATACACTATTGTCTAAATTTACAAATAAATGTCTAAGAAATACAGGAATCCCCCTCTCACAAATGTAGTTCCTCTACATGTACATCCAATTCGAGATGGCATTCTCATTACACCTGCTTCAAATACGCTGTTCCAAAGGATTTTACATGATAATTTCTCTATTTTCATTTTTCTGTATCTTCAAATAAAGCTATCATTTGAAAAAAAAATTTAATTGCTTCCCTTATTTTAAAACAACTTTTCAGTTTCTATATTCTTATCACCAAAAAAAAAAAAAAAAACCTTTCCTTTTCACAAACTCTTACATTACAGCTATTTTCCCTGACGGTCCAGCGCCACCTGTGCTGCACTTGCTAATCCGCTCTGATTGCTGCGTGTTTCTCTGCGAGTGCGCGAGAATCTTCCAGAAGATTTTGGTCATAGAGGCGCGCCGGCCATGTTGATTTTTCTCTCCCATGGAGATCTACTCTGTCAGCCTATGAAATTCAGACGCTGGAGTCCTGCGGCGCCAGGGCAGAGGCTGACTGCGTCAGACTCTGAAGGGGGACGTGCTCTAAGGGATCTAACAGCCAAACTGCCGCGCACTTTCCCTGGAGTGCTCACCCAGAGGGATCAAAGGCGTCTGAATTGCAGAACGTCAGGAAACGACGGCCAACTCAACATCCTGCTCAGAGACGGGAGAGGGGCCGCCGGGTCGAGGGAGATTCGAAACCGGTACTTACCAATGCGAGGCGTTGCCTGACTTTTCCTCTGTAGGTTTCAAGAAGACCCTTTGTAGGTTATTGGACATTTTATAGGGTTGGGAGGGGCCAGTACATTCAGGAAAGGGGGCAGTGTCGGGGCCGAGGTCCTCCAAGGGACGAGAACGAGAGTGAGAGCGAGAATGTTGGGCTGGAGCTGTCCCGGAGCAATTCAGAGGGGGTCGAAGCTGAAAGGAGAAAGAGGGCAGGCTCTCGAAAGGGTGTATCCTCAGGCTTCGGAGGGAGGCGGCGCAGCCACCCAAAACCGGAAGAATAGAAGAGACTGACGGGGCGGGTCCGTCCCTAGCCTCTCAGAGAAGGGTCTCGAGTCTCCACCCATTCAGCGCCTGGGACTTCGCTCCAGAGCCGCCCGGAATCAGCGCTGGAGGCGTGGCCTTAATGGCGCCGCCCCTATGGGTCCCGGGTCAGCCGTGAAGACCGAGCCAGCAGGGCTCGGCCGACCCCGCCCACCAAAGCCGCCAGCTAGCAAAGCTCAGCCTGCCAGCTTCCTGTATCGTCACATCCGGTCGCCAAGATGACTGGCTCGCTAGCACCTCGCCCTTGTACTGTAATCCAATCAAAGGTGATGTTTGCCATCTCTTCTTCCGGATCAAGTAACGAATCGCAGAAAAAAATTCTCGAGATGCCTACGCAAAATAAAATGTTTCCGGGGCAATCGCAAATTTCCTCCCTTCGTATTTGCCGCTGGTCTAAATTTTCTTTTCCGTCCGTGCTTTAGGAGACATTGGAGGGCTCTTTCGGAGTAACATGCACTCCTGGAATGAGAAAATTTTAAGACACCTGCCTGTGGCAAGCGCCTGTTCTATTGCTATTTCCTGAGGATTTCTCCGGTTTTATTCTCTTACTTAAAGCTTTGCCTCGAGACTTAACCTACAGTCTCCCTCCACTCCGTAATACTCGCTGGAAATAACACTGTCATATAGTTTTTTAATTCCCTAAAAGTTTCGTTTCTTGTATTGACTTACTTTTTTGGCATCTTTATCTGACTTTCCAGCGAAATACTTGGCAGATGTCTCTTGATTACTGTTGTTAAGTCTCTTATCTGGGAAACGGGTTGAGTCTTTGGCTTCAGCTAGGACTAGGAGGGAGTTGTGGGAGGAATGGTTTAAAAGATCTAGTTTTATCAGCTACTAGCAGTAAAAATGTAAACTTAGGAGACTGATGTATGGTAGCCAAGTTAAAGGTTTATTTTGGTCTTTTAAAGATGCTGGTTAGTCATTCTCCTAACTCGTTAATGAAATGATGAAAGATCTTGATGTCTCGATTATCATAGAGTAATACTTTTTAACTACCATTCGCTCTTTGTTAAAGATTAATTTTGGCGATATTGAATCCTGTGTGTTTAAGTGGTATTTATCTTTCAGTCAAATATTCCCATACTGAAGAGGAGGCAGAGTGTTGAGTCCCTTTTACTATCTTGGTTTTGGTCGTCCTCCTGTCTGTGAAAGCAAAATTACATAAATGAGTTGCCCATTCTTGGCTTGTTTCATTTTTGTCACCACTCATTTCTTAATTTTTGCATTTCTTAACTTCTCCTCATATCCATCAGCACTTCTCATAAATGAAGCCCATTGTCACAGATTGGGTTCCCTGGGAGACAGACTCTTCAGATAGACTTTGGTGGGCAGGAAGTTTATTAGGGATCAGTGTCTGTGGAAGGAAGGCATGTTGTTTAGCTGTAAGTCCTGTTGGATTCTTTGTGACCCCATGGACTGTAGCCCAACATGTCTCCTCTGTCCATGGGATTTCCCAGGTAGGAATACTGGAGTGGGTTGCCATTTCCTTTTCCAGAGGATCTTCCCCATCTGGGAATTTGAACCCAAGTCTTCCGCACTGGCTGGTGGATTCCTTACCATTGAGTCACCAGGGAAGCCCAGAAAGGAAGAAAAGGGCGCAAAGTTGGGCAGAGGGAGAAATTAGGTTGTGATGCCCAGTCTTAACAAAGGCCTTAGAGGATCCCACATAGAGCTCTAAAATTAAGATGAACTTTTGAAGCTTTCCCAAGTGGAATTCAGGCTTTGCCAGGGAAGGGTGCATGAGCTTAGGTAAGGAAGATCTCTTTAGCAAAGGCAATTACTCAAAGAGGCATAGATAAGGCATGTCTGCTGGCAACATTCCCAGTTGGAATGTTGGCAGAATAAAACCTTCGTTTCTCAAAGAAGTTCTGGGAAATGCATCAGAGTGTCAAGTGTGCTCATTAAACCACTCATTCAGCTATTTCAGTTGATGCTGTTTATCACATGTATTTATATCTTTATTCAGCAGAAGTTTTATTAATTAAAGATTTATTAATCTTTCCACTTGGTGCCATTGGTAATGTATTTTCTTGAATTCCCTCCTATTTTTTTGTGCACTCCTTTTCAGTTTCTTTTGAAGTTTTATCCCTCACATGGCCATTAAACAGATTTCCCTAAATTTGATCATTGATCCTTTTATTTTCTCAAACTATCCTGTCTCCTAAAGTGACTTTAAACATGCTTGTGGTTTCAATGGCCACCTCTAGCCATTTTTATCCTAACCAAACACCTACATAAAACTACATGCCAAGCACTATCCTGAGTACTTTACAAATATTAACTTGTTTACTCTTAACAGCTAGTGAAAAATAGTACGTTCTATGGAGAAACTGATGCACAGAGAATAATACAACAGCATAGAGAAAGGAATGAGACACCAAAGAGAAACAAGCATATTAAGATAAAGATCTTGTTAGCTAAAAGGGTGACAAATTTAAGCAACAACTGACAGGAATGAGTAGAGTAACAAACCAACAAATGTAGAGGATGGCTTTATAGACATATATCTCTGAGAAATTAATAGCTAAAACATACAAAAGCTAGGCATAGATTTCAAATTTCTAAACAATTCAATAAACCAGATTGGGACATCAGGTGTGTAAATAACTCTCCATTCATTGAATAATTCACATTATTTTTGAGACCATATAGAATATGCATAAAATAACATACTGGATTAGGATTAATACTATACATACTATGTTTACCAACCATAGGTTGGTTAAAATTAGCTATTCAGATAATTAAGAATAGCTTTTAGACATATTTGGAAACTGAGTAACCTATTACTAAATTACTCCTGAATTAAAGATGAAATTATACTGAAAATTAAGTGATTTAAATGTTTGTCATAAAATAACAATATTTAAACACATGAGTTACATATGCTGTAACTAAAAAGATTTGAAAAAGATCCCACATACCACAAGGAAGATCTTGCATACTAAAACTTAGACACAACACAGTCAAATTAATTAATTTTTAAAAACTTAAGAATCCAATTTAGACATGTTTTTAGAAGCAACAGAATACAAAGGAAACAAAAATAAGCAAGTGAAGTAAATAATAATGCAGTAAGTTAACAAAGCCACAAGCTGATTCTTTGATAAAATCAACACTAGAGATAGACGTTAAGAGAGGTTAATCAAGCCCCCCAAAAAATGAGCAAAAATACAGAATAAAAAGGGGAAATAACTATAAATACAGCAGAGATTTCTCTTTGCAAGTACTATAAATAACAATTATAACACAACATTTGTTGAATCCTGCTGCAGTAATGAACTAAGAGCTGCTGTTTCCTTCTCCTATATTATAAAAAGGAAACATATTCTAAGAACTAAGAACATTGTTAGCTTAAAACTCAACATTCAGAAAACTAAGATCATGGCATCTTGTCCCATCACTTCATGGCAAATAGATGGGGAAACAGTGGAAATGGTGACAGACTTTATTTTGGCGGGCAGTGTTCCAAAATCACTGCAGATGGTGACTGCAGCCATGAAATTAAAAAACGCTTGCTCCTTGGAAGAAAAGTTATGACCAACCTAGACAGCATATTAAAAAGCACAGACATTACCAACAAAGGTCCATGTAGTCAAAGCTATCGTTTTTCTATTAGTCATGTATGGATGTGAGAGTTGGACTATAAAGAAAGCTGAGCACCAAAGAATAGATGCTTTTCAACTGTGGTGTTGGAGAAGACTCTTGAGAGTCCCTTGGATTGCAAAGAGATCCAACCAGTTCATCCTAAAGGAAATCAGTCCTGAATATTCATTGGAAGGACTAATGTTGAAGCTGAAACTCCATTACTTTGTCCACCTGATGCAAAGAACTGACTCATTTGTAAAGACCCTGATGCTGGGAAAGATTGAAGGCAGGAGGAGAAGGGGACGACAGAGAATAAGATGGTTGGATTGCATCACTGACTCACTGGACATGAGTTTGAGTAAACTCTGGGAGTTGGTGACAGGGAGGCCTAGCGTGCTGCAGTCCATGGTGTTGCAAAGAGTTGGACACGACTGAGTGACTGAACTGAACTGAAGAACATTTTGAAAACTCCAGTGGGAACTGAAGGCTGTCTTAAAATGAACGTGTAGGGAAGAAAGTAGCTGCGGTCTGAGCACAGAAAACTGAAATAAATCATACGTTGGAAAAAGGCAGTTTTAAATTATTTCTGTTCCCTCTCTCCCATATTGCCTGGGATTATCAATGTCTGTCCATCCACTCAGAAGGAAGTTAAAGAAATAGTCAAGATTCCTGGTGCAAGTGTTCATGATAATATCAAGTCGGCAAAGGGCACTTCAGGCTTCTCTGGTGGCCCAGATGGTAAGGAATCTTCCTGCAATGTGGGAGACCTGGGTTCGATCCCTGGGTTGGGAAGATCTCCTGGAGGAGGGCATGGCAACCTACTCTAGTATTCTAGAGTGGAGAATCCCCATGGACAAAGGAGCCTGGCAGGCTAGAGTCTGTGGGGTTGCAAATGGTCAGGCACACCTGAGTGACTAAGCACACAAAGAGCGCTGCTGGGGTGAAGAGCTGAATAAGAAATTCATAGATACATAGTTTGAGATACAGGCATCTCTGTCTCTCTAAAAAACCCTAAGACTTATAGATGAGAGTCTAGGACATGGCTTCCTCCCAAAATTCCAGTGAATTATTTCAGTCAAGTGAAACCCTCACTTAGGGACGTGTTTTGTGGTGAGACAAATATGCATTATCAATCAAATTAAGTTATAAGGAAAACTAAAGGGAATTGTAATTGGAAAACAACCAAAAAATGAACTTATTAGGTCTGTACTATATGAGTTAAAAATACATTAGATGTGACAATTAGTATAATCATACAGGTGAAGGAAAACTTAGGGAACTGAGAGAACACATCAAGAAAAATGTTGGACAGCAGCTGGAAAATATAAAAATATTAATTATTTAATAGCAATCTTTGAAATTAAATAATAATAAATAAATAATAAAATTGTGTTAGTTAGAAGCTATGTGCCAGTATCTAGATAACAAGAGTTGCAGAAAGAGAAAAATGAAAACAATTTTTAAGTCTATGAACTATTTTTCCAGGATTAAATAAAGTAGAAAGATGTCAGATGAAAAGAGCCATAAAGAAATGAGTAGGGAAGAAAAGAAAAAAAAAAACAGAAACAAAAACCATGCCTAAAAATAGAGAAAATAGAGACTACAAAAGAGAAAGAGAAAATTTAAAGTTTCTAGAGAGGAAGACTGTATTATATAATGCTGCATTAGAAATTACCACAAGTTTGGCAAGTGAAAAAAACCCACACTTTATTATCACATGGTTTTTCTGGGTCAGAAGTCCAAGCATAGCTTAGCTGAGTCATCTGCTTTAAGGTCTCTCACAAGGCTGCTGTCAAGGTGTTGTCCAGGGCTGCAGTCTCATTTGAAGGTTCAACTGGGCAAGATCTACATTCAAGCTCTTGTGGTTAGCAGAATTCAGTTCTTTGCAACTGTTAGACTGAGAGCCTCACTTTCTGCTGGTTGTTTCTTCAGAGGCTTCTTTCCCTTCTTTGCTATGTGAGCTGTAAGAGATAATCACAGATGGGCATTATTTAAAACAGTGAAAACATTTCTGCTGCCAGTAAGAGAAAGAACTGAGCCTTATACCAATTTGCGAGGAAGTGTTCTGATATTTAAAAGGGAAAATCAAGGAAAGGTGAGAGACTCAAGGAGAGTTAAAGAAGTGAAAAATTATGAAGGGTTGGTCAGTGAAAATGCAGTTGGGCCAGTGTCTGCTAGCTGGCAATTATCAAGGTTAGGATTTTATGTTACCCCAGAGACTGGGAGTGCTCTATCCTTCCTTATGATTATATTTTGAAGCAATGACTTTCTGGTCTTTGAGAAAGACACATCTAGTTGTAGGACATAGATATACATCTCAAAAGGACAGAGAAAGGATTCATAATTGTAAGTCTTTTTATAGTAAATGCTCGAATTAAGGGAGCATTAACAGCAGTGGCCTATCATTAGGTACTGGGTAGGACAAACAGTATATTCTCTTGGCAGTGTTTAGCTTTCTCAGGCAGGCATTTTAGTGGGGTCATCCTTAGAATTCCAGGATGTCTGACTCTAGGTGAGTGAGCACACCATTGAGGTTATCAGGGTCATGAAGATCTTTTGTATACTTCTTCTGTGTAATATTGCCACTTTTTAATATCTTCTGCTTCTATTAGGCCCATAAAATTTATGTCCCTTATTGTGCCCATCTTTGCATGAAATATTCCATTGATATCTCTAATTTTCTTGAGATCTCTAGTCTTTCCCATTCCAAGCTTTCCCTCTGTTTTTTTTTCTTTTTTTTTTATTTAGTTTTATTAGTTGGAGGCTAATTACTTTACAATATTGTAGTGATTTTTGCCATACATTGACATGAATCAGCCATGGATTTACATGTGTTCCCCATCCC